TGTGGCCATATATTCAACAGACACTCACGGCCTTAATCTTAATATTGCTGTTATTGAACACATTTTTCAGACTATACAGGGATTGCCATGTGATAGCTATTCACCTTGGATTTGCTGTCCCTGAATGGTAAGTTTGTATCACGTATTCTTGTATTGTTCCACTTTCTGCAAAAGTTTGATTATTTTTGTTGTCATCAATATCTTGGTGATGTAACTTTCAATAATGTTGGTACTGTATATTCAGATTATAAACAGTAGAAATTACATATGACCCATGTGTGATGGATCACACAACCATACATGTATAGATGACATTTTACATTTATCCCACACATTACCTACACTTGTCTCCCTTCTGCTTGTTTAGTTCCTCTTCTCTACTTTCATATATTTTTCTTCTCATTTCTTAATTTTTCTTTTTCTGTGTATGATGTATGTGTATGTGTTTGTGTGTGTGTGTATGTATGAGCAAGTATGTGGCAATGTGTGTATGTGACACATATCTGACAAAACTTTGATATTAGTATTTCTGACTTTGGAGAGCCACTGTATAAAGGTTTCAACATGTATATCCATGCATACATGGGCTCCATTTAGTCTGTTTCCAATTATTGCATAGCGAGTAGTCCTACAGAATACATGGATACATACGGGGGTCCCTCTTGTTTTCTATTTTTTTACTCCTTTGGACATAATATCTGAAGCAATGTAGCTAGATCTGATAGTTTTGTTTTAGTTTTGAGGAAATCCTGTTTCCTCTGGCCAGGACCATGGGGATCCTGGATGGTAGGAAGCAAGCTGGACACTAGCATTTATTGCTGTCTGCTTGCACACTATAGACTTGACCAGTTTCTTCAAATCTCCTCCTGCCTTGGCTGCTTCACTATGATTGGCTATCTCAGAATAAATGTTCTCTTCTGTCAGGGATTTTTCTCTGATTATTTTATTACAGGAAGGGAAGCTAAAATCTGGAAACTTCCAATGTCTTGATTTCTCTGTTCTTACTGGATAATCTATATACAGTTAGCATATCTGTACCTAAGACTTCCACCATGTGTCATTCACTGCTTACTGTGTTCTGTCCACCTCTACTGCACAGTACTGTTTCAATGCTCAACTTCTAGGATTGTCCAATGACATTTGAAGTCTAGAAAGATGGTAGCAATGGTAGCTTTCAATCCAAGGGAGCATGGATGCCTCTTGGAATCCCCTCACCTCTAGAAAAAACAACTTCAGTATGCACAGAGCCTGAATTTACATCAAGAAAAACACATCTTCCCAAATGATCACCTAGAGTGTAACCAGGTAATTTAGCTTATCATTTGATGTACTCATTTCCTGTATTCAGATTCTATCCATTAGTTTAACATATTCTATTTATTGGAGAGGAAGCCACATACAGTGCTTCTTGCTTTGAAGTATATAGGCTGAAAGCAGAGCTTCATCCTCATAGGGTGCCAATTTCAAGCTGGCTTTAAGAGGTGGTGGCATCATGCTAAATTTTCCTTTGTTTCTTGATGGTACAGTATGGGATACAATAGAACAGTGGATCCCGTGTCTATAGCCACGTTCTCAGTACTCCACAGCCATTGCTGTCTTAGGTATGGTTCTTTAGGATTCCAAGTGCCAGTTCCAAGACTTTGGTCTAAGCACACTAAGACACTGCAAGTTTGAGGGTCAGGCTCTTTCACAGGCAGAATGTGAACTTATTGAAAAACAGTTTGTTAAAGTTCTCAAGAGGTTGTACTTGTCTAGAGGTTCCACATTAGTCTCTTGATTGCCTAGAATATATTTAACAGAGAATGCCCCAAAATCTTTGTCAGATTTCCCTACACCTCCAGGAGCACGTGTGTCTTACTGAGATGTCTCAAATGCCCAGCTTCTTGTTCATTAGATATGACTAAAATGATGTCTTAATATCATGAAACAATGTTGAGTTCTGTAGGTGTCCAAAGGTTCATATCTCACTGAAATGTGTTGTGATGGAGAGGAAATTTAACAATGCTGAGGTGAGTCAGTGAATGTATACGTCTGCAGTGGTTACACTACTGCCTCTCCTTGTTTGGGTATTTTAAGAAGTTGAATTGCCAGTCTTCTTTCTACTTCTCAGTCTAGACACCAAGAATTTGTTCTAAGCCACACTGTCCATGCATCCCATCAACTGTTCTTTCTAGGTCATGTGGTTATCCACTATTGTCTATCTTCAGCCATCTTATGTGGGTCCTAACATACAGAGACATAAGACAGATTAATAGTTCCTATATTTCCATACCTTTGAAAGTAACTTTAGTATCTGATTATTTTCTACCTTACCTACAGTGTCATGATGAGGGCTAGTTGGCAGCAAGGGTTTCATGTGACTTTTGCATTGTATAGTTTTTACTCTATGGCTCAAGGAAAGAAGTTGCTGGATTTCATATGTATGAACTGAATGTTTCACATGTATGACCTTCAGGAACACCTATTGACACAGTGGACAGACTATGAGTGTGACATGGAGAAGACACATTTGTTTTCTGACTGTCACTGACAGATTCTAATGGGGGCCATGTTGACATACTCATACCAAGCTGTCTGTGTCATCTCTGATCCACTATCTAACAGCATCTAAACGTACATGTGTTATTTCCCTGGAGGTGTGAATAATAAAGAAGTGAAGGAGTTATTGTTGTTTACACTAGCTGAGGTCTTTTAACTTGGAGAACTGGCCCATTTTATAGTTGATGTGATGCAGATATAGGTACTATGCCAGGCCTGGATTCTGGAGGAAGGAAAGAAGCACTTTCCTGTAGGACCTTGAAAGGCAGCCTGGTTTCTGATCAAGAACAGACTAGAAACTGCCAGAGACTCCAGGTGATCCTGAAGAGCCCCAGGTGGGACCCAGGTGATACTAAGGGACAGCAGATGTTTCACCATGTCCCCATACTCTAGACTCCTGACACAAGGCCGCAGCCCTCCATAGATTCCTGTCTTTCAGTCATGTAGTCTCAAGAGAGATCTGCCTATTAACGAGGTACCTAAAGTCCAGAAGGATGTAGCCAATTAAGCTTTCCTTCCCAGACCCTCCTCCCCGAAAACAGTATTTAACCTCAGGCCCACCCTAAGAAACTGGGGTACAGTTTTTCATCTACTTTCTGCCCTAACAATAAACATCTTAAGACCATGAATTGTTTCTTTTCATGGGATCCACAGTGTGGAACTATGGAGAAGGACTTTGCCTATAGATCTGCGGTCTAATCTCCCACACAAGACCTCTTTGTGTTCCCAGCCACAGTGACCACCAACCCAAACCAAGTGAACTGCCATGACCAAGCCAAGGACAATCCATATCCTGGCACAGCCAGAACTTCTCTCTCCATATCCCTCTTCGACCACAGGCCAATCCAGCCCCAGTTTTTTCTCGGCTCTTTCGTGGCTTCCAGAGGCACCCAGGTGCCCAAGAGCCTGAGACAAGCTAGCTCTGGCTCTCCGGGACCTCAGACTGCCCTCCCCACCCCCGGAGTGGGGTCTCGCAGCTTTCCCCAGCCTGAAGCCTGCCTAGCACTGGTGTGAAGTGAATGCAGTCAAACTCCTATGTCTCACCTCCCCGACGGCCCTAGCCCCTTGCCGGGGTCCACATTAACCCAACACTTTCTGCTGCAACAACTCGTTGCCCATTTACTACTAAGATCCTGTTTTCAGTTTTCAAATTATTTCCTTTACTTTTTTGAGATTATATTAGTACAGAATTCTCTATTTTCTTTCTTTCCTCCAAACCTCACCTACACCATCCCCTTCTTCTTTTCAAATTCGTGACCTCTTTTTTCCCCATTATTGTTGTTACATGTATGTTGTATGTGTGTATGAGTACACATATACATACATATACATATACACATAGCTGTGATCTGCTCAATCTGTATAATGCTACTTGTATGTATGTTTTCAGGTCAATATAATTACCTAAACATGATCTGAACAAAGACAACAATAATAAACATGTTTAAGAGTATAATGGAATATCCATGAGGCCTCAACCGTACACAAAGAACTATAGGAAACAAAGGAACTCTTAGAGTGATGGAAATTGTCTTTCCCTGGGAACAGCACACTAATTGGTTATCTAATACTGTTAATGTATTCTAGCTATACATATGTCCATACATATACGCTGCTATAGATACAGAGTCCTGGACTCTGAAGTCCTGGCCATACCAGTTTTGTCTGCCTTCAATCTGTTGTGGGGAACATAAAAAATGTTTCTATTGATATCCATGGGTGCCTCTGAGTTACATGCCACTCTGCCTCAGTTGCCATTCTTAACTTGTCCTTCAAAGGTCATTACACCCACATCTATTCTTCAGTTAAATGATGTCATCTGGGCTGTGATTCTCTACAATCTTATCACTGCCGTCATCCCTAGAAAGCCAAGGTCTGTAACAACATCCTCCACTAACAAGAGCAAAGAAGGACAGAGACTTACCTTAATGCATTCCTGTTCCTGAGCCAGTGATCTTTCACAATCAGACTTTCCAGACTCACATGACCTATTATGCATGAGCCGTCAGTCTAAAGCATTGTTATCTTCTGGGGTCACCAGAAACAATTATATAAGTCAACAAGAATGTGACTACTTGCAGGAAGGGAAGAAGTGCCACAAAAATGTCACTGAGATGTGTGGCACTGGAATACAGAATGTCAGGTGACAGGTCTCTTGGAATAAATTAAAAAAAAAAAAGCTACTTAGGAAATGCATCAGCAAGAACTGACAATGACCCCAACATACCAGGAAAGAAATCACATTTTCCATTCACTTTGAGAGTATAATCAGGACAAGAAGCTTGCCTAATGTGATAATCACCTAATTATTAACATAAACAATAACAAGGAAAGAATGCTGCATGTGAAGACAGCAGCCCCTCAGCAGGGTATAAAAGGGGATGTGGGTGGGGAGACTCCCACTTCCAAACCTTCCAACCCACCTTCTTGTAAACCCATCCAGATCCTCCACCTCTGACACCATGGTCAGCTCCTGTTGTGGCTCTGTCTGCTCTGAGGAGGGCTGTGGCCAAGGCTGCTGCCAGCCCAGCTGCTGCCAGACTACCTGCTGTAGGACCACCTGCTGTCGCCCCAGCTGCTGTGTGTCTAGCTGCTGCAGACCCAGCTGCTGTGTGTCCAGCTGCTGCAGGCCCCAGTGCTGCCAGTCTGTGTGCTGCCAGCCCACCTGCTGCCGCCCCAGCTGCTGCATTTCCAGTTGCTGCAGGCCTTGCTGCCGCCCTACCTGCTGCAGACCCAGCTGCTGTGTGTCCAGCTGCTGCAGACCTAGCTGCTGCCAGTCTGTGTGCTGCCAACCCACCTGCTGCCGCCCCAGCTGCTGCATTTCCAGCTGCTGCAGGCCTTCCTGCTGCCGCCCCAGCTGCTGCAGACCCAGCTGTTGCATTTCTAGCTGCTGCAGGCCTTCCTGCTGCCGCCCCAGCTGCTGTGTGTCCAGCTGCTGCAGACCCCAGTGCTGCATCTCCAGCTGCTGCCGCCCCATCTGTTGCCAGACCACCTGCTGCAGGACCACCTGTTGCCACCCAGGATGCTCTAGTGGTTCTTGCTGCTGAGCACCAACATCCAGTCTCCTGTTCTTCATCACTCACCATCCTAATGTAGACCATGAGTAAGCCAAACCCCAAAAGGCCAATCAAAGCCTCTGTTTGAACTTGACTTAGGCCTCCAAATGCCCTCAGTTTCTTCCCTAACCAGGTCTTTTTCTCTCAAATAAGAGCAAATTTGTGTTTTCTTTGTAATCTATCCTGTTACTCCCATATTGATGTTTATGTCACATATGTAAGTATTTCTATACATCAAATAAACCTGAATTTTGGACATCTGAAAGTAAGTGAGTCATATCTCCTTATTTCTCTTTTAATTGCACTCAGCTCTCAAAATTTTTTTTAGCTCCTCTCAAAATAACGAAAATCCTAGAGATTAATTTAGCTGTGCCCTGTGTCCCCTGTGCTCCTGCTGTAATACAGGAAGGTATTTCCTTGGAGCTGTCACATGTTTCTCTCTACTATCTGGGCAGGAGAGTTGAAGCCTGAAACCCAGAGCAAGCAGAGGAAGGAAGTGAGCACATGCTCCTGTCTGCATCCATTCACTGAACATGTCTCAGTCCCATGTTCTCAGGTGGAACTGGAAGCCAGCCCCAGCCAGGGTGTCCTGTTCCCATATACTCTACACTGGCTTTCTTTCCATCCTGGACCATTTCTCAAGTGAACTACCTCCTCTCAGGCCCTGTCTTCCTAGTCTCAGCGTTGCTGTTGTTCTACACATTTTTCACACAACATGGTTGGCCACCCTGGATGGTGTCACCTTGGATTGCTTCCCAATAAACTGCAAATCTTCTTCATTTTTCTCTTTCCTGTTGCTAATTTTGTACCATTATTTTTATCTACTAGTCTTCTATTGTCCGTTTTGTCCCTTTACTGGACCTAAGCCCTAGAGACCAAAGTTCATGCCAGTAACACTCTACAAGAGGTTTAAAGAGGTGTCACCTTATGGTATGTGAGTTAAGTGGGATTCACTCAAAGCACATTCAGACACAGGAATTTTTGCCAAAAGAAAAGTCTAATAAGCAAATCCTCTCTAACACAGTCTGGAAGAGAGTTAAGGAAGCAAGACAGAATCCTAGAAATGGCTAAGCCCAAATCACTTTAATAAAACACAACTTTCCAATCTCCAGAAGGCTCTGGAATGTGATTGCCTTTCCTGGAGACAAGGTGGCTGGGCTTTTGCTTTGATGCTCAGAGTCACACTACCTTAGGCTTCCACAGTGTGTGGGAAGAGATGCATGTACAACACATACCTCCTACTGACAGCACTTCCGTCCACTAGGGACAATTACTGACAGAACAGAAAGCCCGTTGCATTGGGCCTCACACTAACATGTGGATGAGGCATCTTTTTGGGTCCTTTACACTTGCCAGAGCAAAGGCAGAGAGGGAATGAAGTTGGGTGTTTAGGGAGATAGGAAATATCAGGGAAGACTTGAGGGAGGGAGAATGTGCTTAAATTATGTTGCATGAAAATATTTTTAAAATAAAAAACAAAACATCAAATAACAATATTAGAGAGAGAGAATAGGACATTTCCATAACACTATACAGATAAATTGCTTGCCAGAGTTTAAGGATATGGAAGGTGATATAAAATCTGTAACATCTGACAAATCCATTTCAGTGGCACAGGGGTCATTAACATTGCAGATGCATTCATCAGTATGGTAATTACTAATTAGCATATATCAGTGTGCTAACTACTCAAAACGATGACCTAAAGAGACCTTTTCCTCTTGTCCTACAAAATGTCACAACAATGAGCATCGTTCTCATTGGTTAGTGAAAAAATTACATAATAAGGAATATGTCCACACAGCCATCATTATGGTAAAAAATACAGACAGAAGGGAAAAGGGCTATGATCTCAAATGCAGAGGCTCACATGGCAGTCCTCTGAGAGGGAGCTAATAACAGCTCACATCAGAATCAAATGTGAGTCAGAAGGGGACCGACAGAACCGAGTTTATTACGACTTGAGAAGAAAATTTTGTTTCTAATAATTTAAGCCATTAAGTGGGTAAATGCCATCACTCAAACTGATAATTATTCATCTAAGTAGCAAATAAAAATAAGGAAAGCATATTCATACGGTGTGTAAGAGGCTGCCTGGGGTGCAGGAGACTGCTAAACCCTAGAACCTCATTCTCTTAGAAACCCTGCAAGGTCCCAGCCTCTGATACTGTGGTCAGCTCCTGTTGTAGCTCTTCTGCTCTGTGCAGAACTGTAGCAGAGAAGCTGCTGGAAGGAGAGGGGCTGCATCTCCAGCTGCTGCCAACCCACCTGTGGTGGTTCCAGTTGCTCTGGCTCAGCTGTTGCTTCCCTGCTGTTACGCCCAGAATATGGCCAAGTATTCTGTTATACCACTTACCACCACCCAACCTACATCATCTGCCCCCACCAAGAAATCTCCTTGCTGTTGATTTCTGCTTGAAATATTTGTGACACTATGGATGTTTTCACTAATCACATAAAATGAATCTTATCTACCCAATGACTGGAAAAAGGAACTCTCAGGTGCTAAGTCCTCTCTGATGCAATATTCAAGAGCTGAACTTGGTTCCTATGGGAAATAGTAAGAGTAAATACAAATATTGAGATATTTTAACCCAAGCTAAGCATTTTCTATTTTTAGATGGATCATCTTTGCATTCTGAGTGCTGGCTAATTATGATGATCTAATAAAGCATTGTTTCCACGAGGTCTCAGTTAAGAGATTTTTCCCATCTTACTAAACTCTTGTGATGCGTTACATATTTATGTGTATGTGTGCATGCACACGTTTGTTTTTCACTTCATACCAAGACCACTTTTCTCACCACCAATGTAGAAGATGCTTAGGAGCAAGGGTTCTTTGTTCTTCTCACCTCGACTGGAGTCAGGACAGCTTGAGACATTTGCAGTGTGCCATAGAGGGAGCTATTGATATCTTTAGGTCCCAGACTGTCTATAAAATATGAATGACGCATTATACCTTTCAAAGATGTGAAGATCTAATCCATGTAATATGCTTATCACAGAGGTTGGCAAAACTTTCTGTATGTGAGCTTTGTTTATTTGTTTTATTTTACTGAAAGATTACTGTGGTGGTTTGAATATGCTTAGCCCTTAGGGAGTAGTACTTTTAGGATATGTGGCCTTGTTGGAGGAAGTGTGTCATTATGGGAATGGGCTTTGAAGCTCTGTCCAGTAAGGAAGGTCAGTTTTCTCTTGGCTGTAGTCAGTTCAAGATGGAGAACTCTCAGTTCCTCCTGGGCCATGCTTGCCTGGAAGTTGCCATGCTCCCCTTGATGATACTGGACTGAACCTCTGAACCTATAAGCCAGTCCCAATTAAATGGTGTCCTTTAAAAGAGTTAACTTGGTCATGGTGTCTCCTCACAGCAATGGAAACCCTAAAACAGAACTTGGTAGAATGGTGACATAATATTTACAAACAAAAATGAAACTTAATTTTATTTTTCAATAATATTTCAGTTTTATTCTATTTTTAAATTTTTAACATTAGTTAAAATGTAATTGCATCATCTCCCCTTCCCTTTCCTTCCTCCCGTCCAATCCACATCCCTCTCTCCAAACTCTCTCCTGCCCTTCCATCCTTTCTCAAGTCCATGACCTCTTTTCTTTGATTACTATTGTCACATGTATATAAGCATGTAACTATGTAAATACCACCTGCTGAGTCCATTCATTGTTCATTATTGACCACATCAGCTTTGCATAAAAGTATCGTGGCTATGATTTATAAATTAATAAAATGTTAGCCACCCCCCGGCTCTCATTTTGTTTAACTTGTAGTTCTAAATACGTACATCTGAGGTTGTTCAAGTCCATCTGGATAACAAACA